TAATGTCGGTCTTGGCCTGGGCCTGAAGATTATTTTCTATAAATCAGGCAAAGCCCAGCCCGGCCTGTGAATAGGTCTCACTCCCTCACTTTTGGTATGGACGTTAGAGGATCGCAAGTGGTAAACATGCATTGATTGACCCCAACCATAAGGAGTAAGTGTCGGATCAGCTTCAATCGATACGACAAATTGTGTCTGCCCCCATGCCAAACCCGGCTCATTAATTGAGTGTAAATAATTATTTGTGGGAGTGCGGGCCTCAGATCTCCATCTCCTCTCAGACTCAGAGTGAATTTGATCCGATATATATCGGATTGAAAAGATCCGCACCAAACCCGATGAATTGGCACACCTGCTTCAAATAGTTCGCCCCTAAATCCGAATGTCCGGCGAGACCGATCATCTCATTTCTGTGCCCGTATCCCTCCTCTTCACTCCTCCCCATCCCATTCTCCAATAAGGGTGGTCATGAGCCGAGTTTTTCACAAATTATTCGAGTTTGATTCGATTTGATTTAAACCGAGCTTCGAGTTGAGTTTGAATATGATATATAGGTTTGTTTATTAATTAAGTCGAGTTCGAGCCTAGTGAAACTCGGCTCATGAGCCTTATGAGCCTTATATAATAAATAAATATTTTTTTATTATATACATACATACATACATACATACATACATACATACATACATGCATGCATACATACATACACACACACACTTATATATATATATATACATATACATATACATATAAATATATGAATATATATAATAAATAATTTTTATAATTCTTATTTTTTTATATAAAACAAAAACATTTTTATATGTATAATAATAAATACTTTTTATAATTCTTTTTTTTTGTATATAAAATAAAAAATATTTTTATATGTATAAATTTTAGTTTATAGAAAAGAACTTGGCTTGCAATCGAGTTTGAGCCGAGCCAAGCTTGAATTTGCGAGTTTTGAACCGAGTCAAACTCGAGCTCAAGCCAAACACAATTTCAATGAATTGAGCTCGAATAACCAAATATTCGTCTCGGTTTAGCTCAAATCCACCCCTACTCTCCAGTCTCCATCCATCGTTCATGGCATGCGCCCTCTCTCTCTCAAATTCTCCCCCTTCACTGATAAAGACAAGCCTATTAAGACCCTGAATTCCTTTTCCTATGATCGTATTCCCTTTTGAATAACTTCTGATGAAAATTAATCAATTCATTAGTCTCAGTTAGGAAGGATCATATAAAGTGCAAAACCTTATGCCCTCCCCAATCCAATTCATTAATCAATTCCTTTGAACCATGAATCCCTCTAAAGTACATATTTGTATTTGTATTCCTTCTAAACCGGGCCTTAATAAAGAAAGGTTGAAAATATTCTTTATCGGCCGAGGTGTATAGGCACTTATCATTGAATGACATGTTTGAGTGACCACCTTATGCCCTCCCCAATCCAAGTTCGAAGTATTGATACAATGTGTCCCGTATTTTTTGGTTTTCAGATAATTTTAAGAATCCATTTTTTTATAATATATAAAAATATATTTAAAACTGAAATTAAATAAAACTAAAAATATAAACAAATGTATAATCTATGTCAATACACAAAGATATACCCATACTTTGAACCATGAATCCCTCACAGTTAGACCTGTTCATGGGCTGGGCCGGCCCCTGAACGGGCTTGAACACGTTTATAGGCCCGCGGGCTTAAACTTGGGCCAAAAAGCCCGGCCCGCAATAAATCAAGCCGGGCTCGGGTTTTGTCAAAATAGCCCGGCCTGACCTAAAATTAGACTTAAAATGGGTTATGTGATTATGTCCATTTGAATAAATTTTTTGATTTAAGAATGTAAAATTGTGTTTTAAAACGTAAAAGAAAGGGAAAAAAACCATCTTGTAGGCCCATTGTTCATTTAAATAGGAAAAAAAATCATCTGAATTTTTAATTCTAATTTGAATAAGAAAAATTGTAATTTTTTTATTAGGTCAGGCTTCAGGCTCGGGCTCGGGCTCGGGCTCGGGCCTAGTATATTTTTATTAATGATGAATAAAAGTCTGACCCGACCTGGCCCGGCCCATGAACAGGTCTACTCACAGTGGTTATCAAACGGCCCCTAAATTGTTTTAATGGGTTGAGTACTTGAGTAACGATAGAGAAGGGAAAAAGATAAAGATGAATCCGATAATAAATGGTCGTTGCTATCACTGACCTGGTTTGGTTGAGCTTTTTATTTCTCAATTATGAGCGTTAAGTGGTGGAATTATCAATGTTGGATGTGTACAATACACGCATTCAATATATCTTGGTGGCAAAATAAATATCAATTGTTTGTCCTATTCCTAAGATTCTGATTTCTTTTATCTTAATTTTTGTAGCAGTCACGTATGACCACAGTTTTAGGAAATCTTTTCTCAGCGTGGTCTTTAAGGTTTATTTGGAATCGATTTAAAACTTCATTGGTGTCAAAGTACATCGATGAGGTTTTACATCGAACCATAAAAAAGTGATCGTTAAGTTTTAAAATGTATGACAAAAAAATATATAGTTTTACATCGATTTTATCAATGTAATATTTTGATTAAAGTTTTATATTAATTTACGACATAAAATATCAATTTATCCAAATGCCAATAAAACCAAATTGGACTAAAGTTTTACATCAATCTTAATTTACACTTCATCTAAACGTCAACAAAATCGGACCGGCATAAATATTTACATCAATGATGTTTAATGTTTTACATCGACTTCAAACACAGCCTTAATAATTTTTTGTTAATATTTTCGTCTATAATTATTAGGTTATTATCAGCAATATCACATCCCTGCACTATTCACGTGCACTTACATTCAGCTTGTGACAGATGTCCCATTGCACCTGCCATTTCATATGTATTATGATAGAGCACTTACCACATACTAAATGCCATGGTTTTTAAAACCAACCCGGTGACCGAATTGGTCAGGGGTCCGGTTATCGGGTCGAATGGTCCGATCGTTCGAACTGAATGCTCAGTTCATTCTAACAAAAAAATAAAAAATAAAAAACGGTTAAAACATCGCTCGGTTCAGCGGTTTGCTGACCAAAATCAATGGTTTTAGGAAAAAATCCAGCTTTTGAGGAAAACAGAACCAGTCACCTCCTGGTTCCCAGTTTTTCCAGTCCGACCGTCCAATCCAGCCCGATTTTAAAAACCATGCTAAATGTAAGTGTACAACAAGTTCACTGCAAGCAAGTGCAGCAAATCCCCATTAATTTTTATACATTATCTCAATTTATGCAGTTTCTTTCTCAATTTCAAGTTTCCAATTGTTTGGAGGTTGGAAACAATATTTTTCATGCCCTTTTTTAATTTTTGGAGACAAACAATATTGAACACGCCCTTTTCTTTTTTTCTTTTTCATTTTTTTTTAATTTGGTAAAAGAAAGCTCATATTAGATATTAGTGTAGTTGGAGAAATATAAGAAGATGAAGGAGTGAGACAGTTCGAGAGATGACGGGGAGAAAAGGTCTATAACAAGGTTCAAAGTATCTATATACCTGTGTAGCGGCAGAGGTGTATTAGTACACTTTTTATATAGTTTTTTATAAAAAATTAGTTTTTTTTTTTTAAGTAAAAGTCCTGAAACACCTATAAACAGGTGTTTTTGTATTTATATCAAAATTTTGATCCAATGTCTATAACACTATAAAATTTACCAGCAAGAAAATGAACTAGGATCCTCAAGTCCAACCAAGATGTTTCTCAGAGCCGCTTGGACTTCAAGACTAACAAAATTGCATCTGTCCTCCATAATGCATGTGTTTGGAATCGTGAACATTTATTAACTAAACGTTTTGTATTTGATTTGTTTGGAAAATCGAAAAAAGTAATGATAAACTTGTTTATTAACATTTAGGTGCTATTAGGTGCCACATCAACAAAATAGTGAATAAAAATGCCTATTCGTTGGGGAAAGCATTAAAATGAAACTTCCCCCAACGGTAGGTACACACATAAATTGAAATCTAATTTTGCAAGTTCCTATCTCTATGGATTTACATAATGGGGGAAATGCTGAAATGTCACATATGTGATAGCATTTATTCAATAAACGCCCACAATTCCAAATACACACAGTATTTTTAAAGATCAAACTATCCAAAAAAATAACATAATTCAGTAAAATGAAGCTTTTTAACCAAAGGAACCCTAATAAAGCAGCAAAAATTTCATAAAACAAGACAAATGCAATGCCCATTATGAGTTCTCTCATGTAGGAACCATTACTTTGTGTTCGGTTGTTGTATGACTAACCCTTTTATACACGAATTTGTAATGCAATTTCATTTATATTGATGCAAAAGCAAACAAAAATTTGAGTTCTTTTCATTTACACTCGTGCATTTATTAGTGAAAATGAAATTGAAGAAAAAAATGTATAAACCGCCCAAAGGCAAAAGACATCTGCATTAGCCATCCTAATATCATATGCAGAGCTCAGTTTTGTATGGTGGGTAACATCATATTTAATGAAAAACTGATTAGAGATTCAGAGCTTTCAAAAATTGAAAACTGATCAGCGAAATTCCCGAAACCATTAGATAAAACAAGGAAAAACATATAGAAAAGAGAAAGGAAGCAAACTACGGTACATATCATAAGAAGATACCAAGATAATGTGACAGTCAAAAAAAAACGAACTTACAAATGGTTTTTCCAGCGGATAAAACTAAGAACAGCAACAGCTCCCTGTGAACTTGGGACTTGTCTCTCCTTCTCTCTCCTCCCCCACCTCATGTGCGTGTGACAGCAAAGAAGACAGAACTGACTCATTGCCTCACTCACCAGGCATTCTCTCTCTCTCTCACAGACACATGCACACAATTCTTATATTGCCATTCTTGCTCTGTTCTGCCCTTTGATTCTTCAAGAATTCTGAAGGTATGCTCTTTTGGGCTGCAGAAGAGTGATTTCTACGTGAGGTTAGTTTTTCTTGTACCCCTAGAGTGAAAATTGCGGTTTGTAGAGAACATTTGAGGTTTAAGCTTTGAAGGGTGGAAAGAAATGATTACTGCAAAAAAAGCTACTTTTTCTCTGGTTTTATTTTGATATTGTTTTGAAATCACTGCTGTGAGATCTTATGGGGTATGAGCATTTCTATTAGTTTTATTAACTACAATGCTTTCCGTCCCCTCCCCCCAGTTTAATCCACGTTTCCTTGTTTGCAAGTTCAAGATTTCTTATGGGTTTCGAGGTTTCAGTTTGGTAGGCTCGAGATCTGTTCTTTTTCCTCCCTTTACAAATGCTGCTCTGTTCACAATTTACTTGCCTTATTAAGCAGGGCGCAATGTTGCATCTTTTTGGGGTAGGGTTACTGCTATTAAGAATTTAAGATTGTTGATTTGGTTTTTCTGCTTTAGGAGCTTTTAGTTTGCGATGAGAGTAATTTGGCACCATAGATTGGTTCCCCCTTGATATCTGTCATTGCATGCCATAACATCTTGTTTGTTCTTTCCATAGATGAATTAGGGTTTCCAGTTAAAACAAAGCTATGTATATTTGTTGCTCATGAATGTTGTATACAATTTGACTTTTTTTTTTTTTCCTTCTAAATGGGAATCTATTAGCCAGCGGGGTTCCTGACTATTTCTAGGACCTTACTCTCGTCCATTACTAAGATAGACATCCTGCACTCTGTTGTTCATTTTGATGCATAAATTTACTTAGCAAGGCATTTTTTTTCATTCTCGAACAAAATTAAGTACATTAAGTGTTGTGATCTGATTAGATTCTATCTTCAAGAATCTCCTGCCACAAGTGTGTGTTGCAGCTATATGTATGCATGGAAAAAAATAATGGATGCAGTATGTGATGATTACACCATCTGTTTAGTAATCGTGATACTTGAATCTTGCTTCACTGTTAGGCCATATCATGCTTTCTAAAAGACAAAGAAATTAAATGATTCTTTCTGTGTGACATGGAGAATGATAAATTCATCAAATGAAATTTGTCTTTTGAGGCACTTCACTATGAATATGCATTTTACAGATGTAGCCAATACAGTGTCCAACTATACTTGTTAGAAAAAAATGTCAATTGTTCAAAATCTCCATGTTCTGATGTTAGAACTTCAAACAGTTTTATGTGGTCTTTTCCAGAAAGTGCATGTGTGATGCATGATATTGAATCAAGATATTTCATTTTGACTCTTCTAATTCAAAATGATTTTGTGGTACTGGGTTTAGTTGAAGTTGTATTGGATAACCAAGGGTATTGCTTCTTCAAGATTGTGAATTGCTTATTTTCATTTCTTGCAGCAGGTCGTATCTGTGAATGGGGGTTAGGCGCAAATAGAATTTCGGAAGTATTGCAGAGTGGTTCAGGGTTCTAAAATCATTCATCAATCACATAGCCACGGTTCAAAAGTAGAGGAAAGAAATGTGGAAGGGAAACCAATGAGCAGGAACTACCCTGTAGGGAGTCTGTACCAAGACTCCTGGAGTATGTCCCATAAAACCATGCCATCAGGACCAGGTAAGTGTGGAAGTAGTGGGGAGCTAAAGAGAGGTTCTATATATAAAAACTCAAGGACAGTAGGGAAAATGAAGAAAATGGGCGAGTTTGAAGGAAGAAGAGAGATTGGGTTGTCGTGTAGCAGTGACACATCTTTGTCTTTCAGGATTTTTGACTCTTTGTCTCAGTCACATGAATCCAACCCATCTCTGCAGCAGAAGAGATCAACACCATTTATGCCTTTAATGACAGACCAGGAAGCATCTATTAGAAAGACCTACAAGCAGCCAGACCCTCAGGATTCCCTTGAGCTGTCCTTCCGTTTTCCCTCTCCACAAGGTAATGTTGCGTGTAAAGATGTTTTTGAAGATAGATTCTTTGAGATCTGTCTTGATCCAGAGGATGGAAAACAATGTCCTGCTGAAACAATAGAGAGGGGCTCAATGAAGGAACTGAGTTTCAGATGTAACCAAACTATCGGCCCTCCAAGCAATGGCAACGGCCACTTGGAAAGAGACACAGTCGGCACTTTTCAAAAATCCTCATCAGCAAAGGTGGGAATGCCACATTTACTTTGTCGATCAGAAAGTAGTCCCTCTAAATCCAGACCAAGAGGCTCAATGGAGGAACTGAGTTTCAGATGTAACCCAACTATTGGTTCTCCAAGCAATGGTAATGGCCCCTTGGAAAGAGACACAATCAGCACTTTTCAGAAGTCCTCATCAGCAAAGGTGGGAATGCCACATTTACCTTGTCGATTAGAAAGTAGTCCCTCTAAAGCCAGACCAAGAGGATCAACGGAGGAACTGAGTTTCAGATGTAACCCAACTATTGGTCCTCCAAGCATTAATAGCCTCTTGGAAAGAGACAGAGCCAGCACTTTCAAAAAATCATCATCAGCAAAGGTGGGAATGGCACATTTATCTTGCCGATTAGAAAGTAGTCACTCTAAAGCCAGCCCAAGAGGCTCAGTGGAGGAACTGAGCTTCAGATTTAACCCAACTAGTGGTCCTCCAAGCAATGGTAACGACCTCATGGAAGGAGACACAGTCTGCACTTTTCAAAAGTCCTCATCAGAAAAGGTGGGAATGCCACATTTACCTTGTCGATTAGAAAGTAGTCACTCTGGAGCCAGCCCAAGAGGATCAATGAAGGAACTGAGTTTCAGATGTAACCCAACTATTGGTCCTCCAAGCATTGGTAATAGCCTCTTGGAAAGAGACAGAGACAGCACTTTTCAAAAATCCTCATCAGCAAAGGTGGGAATGGCACATTTACCTTGTCGATTAGAAAGTAGTCCCTCTAAAGCCAGCCCAAGAGGCTCAGTGGAGGAACTGAGTTTCAGATTTAACCCAACTAGTGGTCCTCCAAGCAATGGTAATGACCTTATGGAAGGAGACACAGTCTGCACTTTTCAGAAGTCCTCATCAACAAAGGTGGGAATGCCACATTTACCTTGTCGATTAGAAAATGGTCCCTCTAAAGCCACTCCAAAGGGCAGGTTCAGCCCTATCAGAAGGATGTTGGATCCAATCATGAAGTCCAAATCTCACCCAAGTCCTTCAGTTTCAATGGCAGAACTTGGTAATTTGACAACGGTAGAATTTCCAAACATGGGGAGGAACCAAACACTTTGCAAATCATTATTGAACGATCTCACAAAAACTGTTGTTAAGGAAGAATCCAGTGCCCAGTTTGTCAATAAGTATCTGCGCAGTTCAGTTGTATCATCATCACCCGCTCACCTCCATGGCCTTCTTAAGTTAGAATATAAACATGGGGCACCATTCTTTGAGTTCTCACTGAGGAACTTTGAGGACGTCCTTATGGCAAAGACTTGGAAAGCAAACAATGCTTTTAATTGGGTCTATACTTTTCATACTATGAATGGTAGAAAGAAGAAAAATAGCAGTGGGTGGGGTTCAAGGGAGAGGCACAAAGAGGCCTCCATGGTTGGCCAGATGCGAGTTTCATGTTATTTATGTTCAGAAATTAGAAATGCTGGAGCTTTTGATAACTCAATGGTGACAGAGTTTGTGTTGTACGACATAGGGCATGCAACTAAGAGCCTGGCTCCTGAAGAAAGTTCTACATGTTCCCTAGACTCCATCAAACCTCCCAAAAGTACTGGCAGTGGCAACTTAGTCAAGGGGCTGTCTGTAGATCCAAATGTTGTATTTGATCCAGCAAAGCATAAGCTTGAAAAACAACCTGCTTCTGGTAGTGATGGTTCTAATGATTCAACACCTTATCCCTGGGCACCTGCGGATTTGCATCCAAACTCTGAAATTGCAGCTATTGTTATTCAAGTTCCATTTAAGAAAAAGGACAGCTTCAAAGACAAGCAAGGGGTTTCTGGTAAAGTGCATTCAAACTTGTTTGAATTTTCCATGGTTGAACAGAGAAATGATGGCAAGCAAAACAGCATGAAACCTGCAAATGTGAAGGTGGTAACAGCAACTGGAATACATGGTTTGCCAAGTACTGATAATTGTGGTGGTCCTTCGCCATTACTGGATCGATTGAGATCTGGTGGACACTGTGATTGTGGTGGCTGGGACATGGCATGCCCCCTTCTTGTTTTTGGTAATCCCCCTGCTCAAAATGTTCAAGATCATCAATTTATGGGTAGTCAACAGCATTTGGAGCTCTTTGTTCAGGTATGTTTCTCATCTGATGCAGATGGTGGGATGTCTGTACCATGGTTGCCATATCTTCTGTTGGACAAATTTTAAATACATGGTTTAAGTATTTGAGATGATCATTAGTACTCTTCATAAAGAGAATGTAAAGGAACTGGGTCTACATGTAAGGGGCGCCATGGTGCATCATGGATGATCCTAATTTAGAGATTTTCTAGGTGAAGAAATTATAGTGGTAGCAATAATACATCAAATTAGTAGCCCTCCTGGTTTTTTTCCGAACCTTTTCCTTTGTCAACTTCCATTTGCAAGTCAGATGCATACTATGATATGATTGGATTGAACCTTTTCACTTAGGATCTCACATAGGAACCTGCCAAGTGGTGGATGTCAATAGCCTACATGTGTTTCTCATGTTCATATGTTCTATTAAGAGATGGTTACTGATTATAATAATTAAACTCCATATTTACATTATTGGTTGTCAATGATTAGCAGAAATTTATTTCCTTATACTGAGGTTTGTCCAAATATCTAATTGTTTTCTCCCTTCCATTATGTCCCGGACTCTCTTGTCTGATAAGTGTTTGTTTTTAATCTCTACAGGGAGCAAAAGATAAGATGCCAGCACTGACCATAATAGCCATCAACGAAGGGCAATATTCGGTTGATTTTCATGCTCGACTTTCCACATTACAAGCTTTCTCAATTTGTGTTGCTATCTTACATAATGCAGAAGTGTCCACTGCAGTTGGACAAGAGAGGAACAGGCAGAGGTTGCATAGCAATTCGCTCAAGGTGCTGCTTGAGGAAGAAGTGAGATTCTTGATTGAAGCAGTCACAGGAGAAGAGAAACGAAAGTTCACAAAGAGAAAGGAAGAAATCCTACCATCTTCCATCCTGAACCCACCTTTTTCTCCTATTGCACAAGTGTAGATTGAAATAGTATTTTTTGATACCTTTGACCCCAATTTGCAGGAGAATTCCAGATCTAATTAAGAGATCTGCGTTATCTATTCTTACTGCAGATGCCAGAATTTTACTCCTTTGTAGGCAGTAAGATCCATTACAGAATACAGAGTAAGATCCATTACAGAATACAGAGTACATCATGCAATTCTTTGTACCAGTAATCTACTCAAAACTAACAAATCTTATCTATATTATTTAATAGAAGCTTGTAATGAAGGGAAGGCAACCACCTTTCACAGTAAACATACAAATTATTTGTCCGAGCCCTCAGCTGTGAACTGTAATTTCAATTGTACTGCATCCTGAAATTTTGTGAATTCCTCGGTCTTCCATAAAACTTCTCAACTTAAGGACTTCATTCCAGGCCTCTTTACTTGCATGAATACTCAATAGAAGCTTGTAATAGCCAGCAGTTGGGCCATTCATATCTAAATCTACAACTTGTTCTGAGTACAATTTTGCCATCTTAAGGTCATCATGAATCCTACAAGCACCCAAGAATGCCCCCGAGATGTTGATATCTGGTTTCATTGGCATTTGCCCAATAAACTGAAATGCTTCATCAATTAACCCTGCTCGTCCCATGAGATCAACCATGGTGACATAGTGTTCCATTTTAGGTTCGATTCCAAATTGCCTGACCATATAATCAAAAATTCTGAATCCTTCCTTAATTAGTCCTGTATGGCCGCAAGAAGATAATACGGTGAGGAAACTTACAGCATCAGGATCCATTCCTTTCTTTAGCATCTTAAAGAAAGCCATTAAAGCAGCTTCTCCATATCCATGCATGCCCAGCCCATGAATTATGGCAGTCCACGAATTTACATTTTCATTTGTGATCCAACTGAATACCTGGTAAGCCATGTTCAATCTTCCACACTTGGAATACATGTTTATCAAAAGTGACTCTATGGACACTTCTGAACTAAGTCCAAGCCTTATTATGTAACCATGGATAGAACTCCCTGCGAGGAAGCTCCCCAAATCAGCACAAGCTTGAAGGGCAATCAGTACAGTAACTACACTAGGTGCCACACCCTCGATCTGCATAACATGGAATAACTTGATTACCCGTTCTAGTTCTCCCCTCTGCGAGTACCCCGTTATAATGGCGTTCCAAGTAACGACATCTTTGCATGAAATCTCATTAAAAAGCTTCTCGGCGGCATCGAAACTCCCGCATTTGGCATACATGTCCATAATTGCCGTAACCAAGACTGTATCAAGAGAAAAACCTGAGACCACCACATGTGCGTGCACAGATTTTCCAAGACCAAGTGCTCTCAACTGTCCACAGGCAGGAAGAACAATTTTCAAACCCACTTTGTCTAGCACCATCCCTTCAGATTTCATTGAACTACAGAAATCCAACGCGACATCAGGGAGGCCATTCCATCCATAACCAGAAATCATGCAATTCCAAGTAACCAAATTCCGTCTGGGCATATTGTCAAAAACTTGACGGGCAGACTGCACAGACCCGCATTTTGAGTACATATCGATGAGAGAATTGGCAACAGCCATGCTACTTCCGAACCCACATTTGAGGATCTCTGAGTGGACCAACGCGCCTTCTTCAACCGCAGAAAGACTTGCACAGGCTTTGAGCACGTAGGGGTAAGTAAAATTATCAGCATTCGAATTGGACAACCGGAGAAGGCAATACAGATGGAGGATGTTCTCGAAGAGCCCAGCACTCGATAGCTCCTTGAGTGTGGAATTAAATGAATAGATATTGCCTTCAAAGAGGGCACCGAACAAGGATAAGGCAATGTAGAGTCTTCGGTTAATGAAATAAGCCAGAAGAAGATCGGTTGCGACAGAATAGTTAAATTCGAGCCCATATTTTAAGATGAAAGCATGACAAGTATGAGGATCAGTTGAATCTGAAGAGAGAGAAATTGGTGATAATGGATCACGGCCAGAGGAGGAGATGGGATGATGATTCGGGTGTGGAGACTGGAAAGAGAAACAAGTGAAAAGAGATTGATGCAAGCGACAGAAAACAGAAAGCCGACGTGGAAATAAGAAGGAGCGCTTGGCCACACCCAGTTTCAGTTTCAGCATGGAATGAAAGAAGAACAGAGAATTTCGTTCTATGGTTTTATAGACCGAGAAATTAAAAATACGGTGGTAATGGTAGCCTGTAATTTATTTACCCTCAAAATTATATCTTGTTATATGGAAGAACAATTGAAAATATGTAGGGAAAATTCCACTTTTACCTGAACTTGGGGGTAGTGTCAAGTTAGTATCCTAACTTTCCAATGTGTTAAAAATGTCAAGTTGGTCATTGTTTAACCGATAGTCAATTATCTATTGAAAATGTCAAAATTACTTTTCAAAAGAAGACACTGTTCATTGTTTTCTACCTTGAATATCAGTTATCTTCAAAGAAATAGAGGGAAACAATACCTGAAAGCAAAGAAATACCTAGAGAAGAATGTGTTTCAAATCTAAAAGCAGAAGACAATGACTTCATTAGTCTAGAATTTCAAACACCTCAACTGGTTCAATCTCAAGGTAGAAGACAATGAACAATGTCTTCTTTTGAAGGGCAGTTTTGACATTTTCAACTTGACGCTTTTTGAAAGTTTAGGTACTGTAGTGACACATTTAAAAGTTTGGGTAATGACTTGACACTACCCTAAAGTTCAAGGTACTAAAGTGGAATTTTCACTTAAAATTATTTTTCCCTAGATGGGAACATGCGTCATTGTAAGAACTTACAAATTACTGGTGGGGACCCGTGCATCGTCGTTGTAAGAACTTATAAGTTAGTAGTGGAGACCCACATGGGTTTTGTTAAAAGAACTTGAGCCTAAAGGAGTTAGGGGTGCAACTTAAGTAAGCCTAATTTGATCCTAATCCAACTCAACCAAAGACTTTGCATAGGTTGGACTTGAGCTTTCAAGTTCAAGTTTGGCTTAGGCCAAAAAACTCTAGCCTAACATAAATTTAGGTTGGGCTTGGGTTGAGGCATCGGGTAGCCCGAACCCAATTTAACCAATTTGAGTCCGCCCAACATTTTGTGATATACATATCTATATATTATCAATATATTCTACCTAGATATTGGGTTACAAAGCTCAACACGTCCAATCCCAAGCCTAGTTCAAGATGTTGGGTTAAAGCTCAAGTTAAGCCTAGGTTGGGTAGCCCGAACCCAATTTGACCAATTTTAGCCCGCTCAACATTTTGTGATATACATATCTATATATTATCAATATATTCTACCTAGAAATTGGGTTACAAAGCTCAACACATCCAATCCCAAGCCCATTTTAAGATGTTGGGTTAAAGCTCAGGTTAGGCCTAGGTTGGTAAGAGAAAAACTACTGGTAATTTTCAATAATTATTGATAATTTACTAATATATAATAAAAATACAATGACAATAATTACTGATAATTTACTAACCTAAGCCCGAGTTTACTAACTTAGGCCCAACCCGAGCTTAGCCTAACATCTTGGGCTAGACTTGGGCTTGGGCATATTGAGCTTTATAGCCCAATTCCCAAGTAGAACATATTGATAAAATTGGGTTGGGTTGAGTTTAAACTACTCGAGGCCTCAACCCAAATACAACCTGAGTTTAGGTTAGCCTTAAGTTTTTTGACCTAAAGCCAGCTTGAAGTTCAAAAACTCAAGCCCAACTTGTGCAAAAGCTTGGGTTGAATTGATTCGGGTTCTAGTTAGGCCCACCCAACCCAAGGTACACCCCTAGCTCCTTTTGCCTCAACTTTTTTTTTTTTTTTACAAAACTCATGCATTGTAGGGTCCCCCTAGTAATTAATAGCACTAATTTTTACAAAGGATGGAGTTCTCGCAGGTTCCTCAGCTCCCGTCGCCTACAAAGAGGAGGAAAGGATGGAGTTCTCGCAGGTCCCTCAGCTCCCGCTGCCTACAAAGGAGAGGAGATCACCTCATGCAGAGGGCAGTCGGGTTGCGCTACACCAGGGAGCTCCACCACCCTCTGAGTTACAGGCCACCTAGGAGCAAGTCAAATGACAAGTCCACCCAGGCAGTTCTCCATTGGGGAGTTCGCCACCAAGTAGCTCATCACCAGACAGTTCGCCACCAGGGAGCTCCATCATCCTCTGAGTCACAGGACACCTGGGAGCAGGTCAAATGACGAGGTACTTAGCCAAAAAAATTGATACATCACAAAAATTGGTACATGACCAGAAACGGTTACATCAATTGGCGCCGTCTGTGGGAAACGCTACAAAAAGCTAAGTTCTCATCCTACAAAAGCTAAGTTCTCATCTTACCAAAGCTAAGTTCTCATCTTACGAAAGCTAGGTCCTCTTCTCCCAGAAAGCTAAGTCCTCACTTTTTAGAAATTGAAGTTATCGCTGTATAGTTTACATTTTTTATGAACTAAAGACTATGCAGGGAGCTAACAGACTAAGTAGCTCTACCAACCTTACTTTCAATTCAGATAAAGCCTCATCAGTCCTCTCCGCAAGGTCCCCCCTACAAAGATGAGCTCTTCGTGGCTTCCGCGGAAGTTGGCGGCCAACAGACTACATAGGCGCCCTTACCGGTCGAGCCTTCTAAGGCTCCCGTGTGAGCTGGCGACCTAAAGTTAGTAGTGCTGCCCTCGAAGGTCGAGCTCCTAGTAGCTTCTTGTAGGAGTGGGTGATCGGCATTACGAAGCTTATGCAGCGCAATCGTAGCTCTAAGGCACCCACTTGGTCAGCTCGGCACCTTACAGGTAGCTCGGCACCTGGTCAGCTCGGCACCTCACTGGTAGCTCAACACCTGGTCAGTTCGGCACCTCACAAGCAAAACCTGTGGGCCACATTACTGCTAAAGATCCAGTCGCCTCTTCGACACGGGCAAAGTCAAAAAAGAGAGGACTACGAGTCACTCCCAAAGCCTACGGGCCACATTACTACTTAAGACCCAGTCGCCTCTTCGGCATGGGCAAAGTCAAGAAGAGTGGACTACAAGTCGCTCCCAAAACCTACGGGCCACATTACTACTTAAGACCCAGTCGCCTCTTCGGCATGGGCAAAGTCAAGAAGAGTGGACTACGAGTCACTCCCAAAGCCTACGGGCCACACTATTACTAAATACCCAGTTGCTTCCTCAGAATGGGCAAAATCAGCAAAAGTGAACTATAAGTTGCCCCTAGAGCTTAAGGGCTACACTACTGAACTGGCGGAGACCTCCTCACCTTATAGGCAGCTCGCTACTTACAGGTAGATCACCACATGCAGACGACTCCCAAGGCCTAAGGAATTGGATCGGCACTTACTAGCTCATGGTCTTACAGGCCAAAAGAAGAATACTCCCTTCACTGAGTTACTCTCAGTTCGGGAGTGGGGGGCAAATGATGAGGGCAGATTTGGCCCTCTAGTGAAATGGTGACATGTGGCACCTCGTGACAACTAGGCGATGCCCAAGCAACAACTTACCAAGTTGGTGTCCCACCCGAGCATCGGCCTGGCTGGCCTGGCGCGGCCTGCGCGCAGCCTGGCACGGCCTGGTGGCCTAGCACATGATCCTACCTGACCGACCTAGCCGACCTGGATCAGCCCGACACATGATCCGACCGACCTGACCTAGACGACCTGGCAACCCATAAGACGCCCACCGATAAACTCGACATGCATATCCCACGAGCTCGGTAGCTCACCAAGGAGCTCGCCAAGGTGCTCGGTAGCTCACCAAAGAGCTCGCCAAGGAACTAGGCAGCTCTCCAAGGGGCTCGCCACCAAGGAGCCAAGCAGCTCGGCAGAGCTCGCCACAAGCAGCTCGGCATAGCTCTCCCGGGCAGCTCGCCACTTATAGGGTAGCTCAATACAGAAGAGCAGTTTGGCGTATTGTAGGAAGATCTCTTGCCTGACAACCGTACCTGACAGATATGGAGACTTGCACCCACGTCTCTCGCCAGGCGGCGCCTTGCTTGGCAGAGCCGTACTCTGCAACAGTCGCCTGCACCCACCGCCTCAACTCTGATAGCGACAACTGCGGCAAAGAGACAGAGGCGATTGTACCTGACTTGACAGAGGTGGCCACACCTGATTTGATAGGACACCGCTATATAAGGACTCCAACCCCCAAAGGCAAAGGGGGGGAATGGAAAAATGGAGGTAATCCCTGCTCTCTAGCTCTCTCATTTCTCTCCAAGCTCTCTGCAATCAGAATGCTAACTTAGGCATCGGAGAGTCCCCGCCGGGTAAACACCCCCAGGTCCTCTGATTTAGTTCTCGCAGGTTCCTCAGCTCCCACTGCCTACAAAGAAGAGGAAAGGATGGAGTTCTCGCAGGTCCCTYAGCTCCCGCCGCCTACAAAGGAGAGGAGATCACCTCATGCAGAGGGCAGTCGGGTTGCGCTACACCAGGGAGCTCCACCACCCTCTGAGTTACAGGTTGCCTAGGAGCAGGTCAAATGACGAGTCCACCCAGGCAATTCTCCACAAGGGAGCTCGTCACCAAGTAGCTCTCCACCAGGGAGCTCGTCACCAGGCAGTTCTCCACCAGGGAGCTCGTCACCAGGCAGTTCTCCACCAGGGAGCTCGTCACCAAGTAGCTCTCCACCAGGGAGCTCGTCACCAAGCAGTTCTCCACCAGGGAGCTCGTCACCAAGTAGCTCTCTACCAGGGAGTTTGCCACCAAGTAGCTCATCACCAGGCAGTTCACCACCAGGGAGCTTCATCATCCTCTGAGTCACAGGACACCTGGGAGCAGGTCAAATGATGAGGTACTTAGCCGAAAAAATTGATACATCACAAAAATTGGTACGTGACCAGAAACGGTTACATCAGTTACTAATAGTAATATTAGTTACTAAGAATAGTAATATTTTATGGTATTTTTAATTATTCAAAAAAATAGTTAATAATTATTTTTAAATTTTATAATTAATATTTTAAAAAATATTAATAAATTTATAATTATAGTTAATAATTCTCAATTATGAATTAATAAATTTTATACTTCTTAATTTATAAAAATATTGCTATAAATATAGATAGATTACTATTAGTAATGGTAATTTAATAATCAATTTAGTTATTCATGAAACATTTATTAATTTTTAAAATTTTGATATTAATAAAACAATTAATTATTATTGGTAATTAATTAATATGTTGGTAATATGTCACTAATTAATTAATCATGAATTATTAATATATCACTAATATTAACTACTAAAAATAGTAATATATTTTGGTATTAAAATTGGAAATTTTTAATAAATCATGGATATAAATAATATATTTTAAGTGAATTTTGGTATTTTTAAATTAATCCTGAAAAGAATTAATTAATTTTGGTAAACTATTAGTAAATTGTTGACAATATTAGTAATTAATCCCAAAAATATTACTAAAATGGAAATTATTAATTATTAAAAATAGTAATATTGTTTGGGAATTTTTAATTAATCGCAAAAATAATTAATTTATTTTGGTATGAGTTATAATAAAATAAAATGAAAATTTTAATTATAAACAATGTGTAATATACCATTCAAAGTAAATGGGTTGGATTAATGAAAACCAAACGATACCTGATCCAATAAACCACTTCACTTTAGCTAAATGGATCGGAGAGAGAGAGAGAGAGAGAGAGAGATTTTAGGTAAAATATATTGAAATCGGATTCAGTCAGTGCAAAGCCCGTTCGAACAGCCATCATAGCCTTGCATTGGGAATATCTCCCCATGAAATAAAGCATAGAAGTACAGAGATGTTCCCGATGCAAGGTTGTTCGAATGGGCCTTGCATTGACTGAAACCGATCTCAAATATATTGAGCTAGCTAATTAGGAAATGAAGATAAAGGGTGTTGAGTTGGCTTAATATGAATGGTGGGAAAGGGAGAGAAGAGAGAGTCAAAGAAAATGTAAGGTGGGGGTAATGGAGCAAAGAGAGTCATTGTGGTGTAGACTGTCTTGCTATATATATATAGATAAGTTATAAATATTTTGGCTTTTTTTGCATTGGCAAAAATGTGGAAGGGTCTATTTGATACTTGATATATATTAATTTTGAATTGAGTCAACGAGTCTGGGTGGTGTAGTTGGTTATCACGCTAGTCTCACACACTAGAGGTCTCCGGTTCGAACCCGGGCTCAGACATGTTTTCTGTTGCAACCAATTATTGGGGTTACCGGAGAACAAAAGTTTGTCGGTAAAAGCGTAAAAAATATAACCTGAAGTCTATGATTGAATAAATTTTCTGATATCATTTCAATTTTATCATACGATGTCTCCCAAAGTGACTGCTGAATAAACTCTCCTAATTAATAAAAACTTTGTCATCTGATCTGAGAATTCGGATATGCTTCTCACAGAGCGGCGCTTTACACCAATCTCACGGCATGTTCTGGTCACATATTAGGAACATCTCGTATTTATATTTATTGTTGATGGAGAGATGTTTCCAATACAGGGTGGGATGTTGGTGTGAGTTGCGCTCGATCTTAATTCGCCATCTGATACTATTTTCGAAGTATTCGCATCCCTCGGTGCTCTTTTAAATACACTCTTAGATAAAAAAAATAGTGCTGTCCATTGTATCGTATGTGTTGCTTTATTTCTCTCTCATATGCACACTTGGCCTTATCAGGCTTGAAAAAAAAAAACTATTATGGAAGTAAATTCCCAGTCACTATATAAATTTTGTCCTGAATGTTTGATCAAATGTAGATTTTGAGATGAATTGTTTCATTGAACTATTTCTTCTTACAATTGGTGTAATAAGCAGTCTGGGTGGTGTAGTTGGTTATCACGCTAGTCTCACACACTAGAGGTCCCCGGTTCGAACCCGGGCTCAGACAACTTTTCTTTTGTGTTGCCCCCATTATTGGGGTTGCCAATAACAAAATTTCTCTACCATTTATAAAAATTATAATGGTGATAATTGTTGGGTCAAAAAACCTAATTTTATTTTCCCTTTTTACCCTCTTTTTTCAATATTTAACTACCATAAGGCCGTACGTTGTTCATCAAAGTGGGGCAAGTACAATGGTCTAACACTTTGATATACAATTCCAATATTACCCCTGAAAATTGAAAATGAGAGTGGGGCCAAATAGCAAATGTGTTTTTGTTCCATTTATTCATCATAATTGATCAGGATGGACTTGGAAAAAAATTGAAATAAGATAAAAATAGCCTAGGAATTATCACCTCATCTTTTCTATTTTATTTTCCTTGAGCTACACTTAAAAGTAGGCAAATTAGACTGCTTTTCTATTCATCACAGTTTCAACTGCTTCGAGTTACACTTAAAAAAACACAAATAACTTATTTGTCCACCACTCCAATGCCACATCTACCAACTCACATAACTTATTCTTGGAACTCCAACTCAAACAAACCGACCTATTATCAGAATTTAAATTTAACGGTAAATAAAATGAAGTGATTGAAACTATAATGTAGAGATAACTGAAAGTTCTGGAAACATGAAGCATTTAGAGAACTATTTATTAAGATTTAGAGGATTATTTCTACCATCCCCCAACAAAGATGGCCATGTCAACAATTATATCCAAATAAGATTCACCTCTCTTAAGTGTTGATTCTATCAATTCGAGTACAACTTAATGAAACTAACTAGATATACCCAAACCTATCTGAAACTACTTTCTTAGGTCCAATTAGCTGCCAATTCCTTGTAGGAGTTCATCGTTTTTTTTTTTTTTTTTTGCAAATTCCAAATTGTCTGAAACATTTCTTGGTAGGTGGGTTTCTTGCCCCAATTCTGTTTTCAATTCAATGAAACCGATACAAGTAATAAAAGTATGGAATAAGTAGACTTTCAGATTAGTGATTTCAAGTAGAAAGCCGGGCTTATTCTATCCTATTTAGCATATATCTGGAAAACATTGTTTTATTTTTTTATATGATACATTAATGCTATCTTTGTATTTTGGTTGCAAACTTTGTTAATTTAGACTCCCCAAGGAATTCACTGTTCATTTGTATCTTCCCATAAATTTCCTACTATATTCCATTATTTCTTATATCTATTGCAGCAAGATTTAATTATTTCTTTTTTTTTTTTTAATTTGTGCAGTATGAATACATATTGTCTAAAATATTTGCACCTTCATTTATATTTCATTCTGATTATATCATCATTTTCAAACTTGCAGTTGATATCTTAGGCTATATGTAAATGAAGCTAACTAGAATATGCCCAAACCCATATGAAACTACTCAATGTTTGGTCCAATCAACTGTCAATTCCTTGTAGAAACTTTAACCTATCAAAAATTTGAACTATTCACATATATTTTCTTATTATTGTACTTTGCACAGTTACTAACACTAGTTCGATTGTTTACGAGGAATAGTTTACACTATACAAACTCTTAAGTTGCAAGTATAGATATTAACCTAAGTTTGCTGGATGACAATCAATTAGACAATAACAAATCTTTGAACGAACCAATCAGAGGTTTCCTGATGGAAAGTTCACTCAATCTCCTTACCAACTTGATACATTGAAGTGTTGGGGCTGAATCTGGACCCTAATGCTTATTGTGGTTAATCAACCATTGATTCAAATACTCCGTGCATCGCATGGGCCATTCTACTAGTTCTCCGTAAAAGCGTAAAAAATATAATAAAGTCTCCCAAGTGACTGATGAATAAATTCTCCCCTAATTATACAGAATGAAAGCTTTGTCATCTGATGATATTCTCGAAATAAAGTCTGATGTATGTAAGCTGATCGCAGATCTGTCTGTATTTCTATCCATTCGTGCTCTTTTCAATACTCTTAGGGTCTGTTTGATTCACAACCAGAATCGGAATCAGGATGGTCTATTCCTATAATCTGTATGATTCAGATAGGAATGAGAATATGAATTAAAATCAACAGGAATGGGATTTCATTCCCAAGGGGCAGGGAATAACCATTCCCTCAAACGGGGGAATGCCATTCCAGCAGGAATGAGAATGGGATTCCAATTCTGCTCAACCAAATAGTTGGAATCAGAATAACCCATTCCAATTCCGATTCCATACCCCTATTCCTACGAACCAAATGGGGCCTTTAATACTGCCCATTGTACTGCACGCGTTGCCTTATTTCTCTCTCGTATGCACACTTGGTCTTATCAGGCTTCAAAAAAAAAAAATACTACTGGAAGTAAAATCACATAGTCACTATAGATTTTGCCCTGAATGTTTGAACGCATGGTTTTTAAAACTGAACCGGTCAGGGGTCCGGTTACCGGCTCAAACGGCCAATCGTTTAACCCAAACGACCAGCCCGTTCTGACAAAAAGATCAAAAAAATTAAAAAAACTGAAAAATGGTCAAAACCGTTCAAATAGTTCGAACAGTTAACCGGTCGGTTCAGCAGTTTACTAACCAAAATCAACAGTTTTGGGGAAAAACGGAACCAGTCAGGTGACCGGTTCCCGGTTTTTCCGGTCCGGTTTTGAAAACCATGATTTGAACGAATGTGGATTTTGAGATGAATGTTTTTTAATCTGAATCATTTCTGCATATAATCGGCGTAGTAAACAGTCCGCCTCTCCATTTACCTGACTCACGAAACGGTGAAGCCAATGGCTCTTGCAAATTGCAATACATCTACACGCCTGTTCCTGTTGTAGCCTTGTAGGCTCGTAGCACCGCAACAGTATCCGGTCATGCGTGGAGAAAATGCAGAATTGAGTATGAGAGCAACCCCTTTGTGCAAAAAATGCCAAAAGGTTAGGACCGACCAATACTGGGTAATGGAAAAAGAGAGGGTTAGAGAGCTGTGGCAGAGTTGAAGACAAGTCAAAAAAAAAAAAGCCAAAAGATAAAGAGAAGACTATTAGACTATACAGCCAGGAGGATTTTTATAACTTAATAAAAGTGGCAGGGAGTGTGCTGTGGATAATCAGAATGGAACCTCGGGAACATATCTGTGCCATTCCAGAATGTGAATCAACTGGTTTTGTTGCGATTACTTCTGGGCAGTGGGCAACGCAATTGCTTGTTCAGACCCCCAGAGAATAGCGTTAAAGCAAGTTGTTGTGAAGTCCCTCTGCGGCTCTGCCACTTAAATTTTAGCAAGGCATTGAGGTCATATACCGTGTATTTTGGACAATGAGAGGCAGAAATGTGCAGATAGTGGTTAAATACCATATGAGATGTTAAATTGTTATTGCTATATTACGGTTCTAATAAGGACAAAGCTATCTGGATGGAATTTACAGTATAAGTTGGCTCTGCAAGTACTACTGCGGCTACTGGATCATGGAGATCCGATTCAACTATTCAAGCTTCTGGTAACCGAGACTTGTCATTCAGGTTTGGCTTGGTTCCCTCCCATAGCTCTGTGAGTTCATTTCTCAGCCACGAGATGACGATAATTGGTCCTAGAGTTGAGGGCACCTGCACCCACATAATGACATAAAATGTTAATTAGAAAGTAAAACTTTGATAGTTGCTACAACCTGTACTAGTGCCTAACCCTGTCATCTGTATGATCAGATTAGACACCCCTTAATGAAGATGCCCCAAACAATATAAATGATTAGATAAGACAGACAATCAAATACTCTTTTGCTTGATCTTAAAATTGTAATTTGAGTTGACTTGAAGCAGAACACCAGGTGGAAAAACAATGGAATTTGAAAATATAAAATCTATAGATCCCTACCCCTCCTAAGCTGGTTTATTAGTTCTGTATAACAATCAACAAACCTGTACATTAACTATCAACAACAGAATCTTTCAAGTATAAATTTCATGTAAAAATATAAGCCGAGAAGAAGAAGGAGAAATGGAGGAATGCAGCCATAAAACAGGAGAAAAATAAGGGAGCAGAGCCCCTATTTCATTCCCAAAAATATTCTTTAATAAAATAAGAAAATAAAATACAGGAGTAATAGGACGACTTGGACTGTTTAAGAAGAAGAAGAAGAAGAACGTTTAGTTTGGCTTACCTGGAGATCCTGGATGACTTGAACTTAAACAATGGAGACTTCCTGGTCTTCTCTAATCGGTTCAGAGTTCAGAGACAAAGACTAGAAACTTTCCTGGTTTGTAGTTTTGTTTTATATTATAATTCTCATAGTAAAAATGATAACATGTAACAGAGTGTATTCTAACAAGATAAAAGTAATCAATAAAAAATGATATAATATGTGTGCCTCAACCATCTGAATAGGTATAGGCACCCACCTAGTTGCCTAGGCATGTACCTAATTTTCTGGGCAAGTGCCTAATAGGAAAATCATCTGGCATTTGGGCAAGGCGACCCATGGAAACCGCCTAATCGCCTTGACAACTATGGACTTAAGTAGCGCATCCAACAGATATCCAACAAACTAGAAACCCCTCTTTTGTTTTTTTTATTTTTTTTATTTTTTTTTGGGGGGGGGTTAGAATAGTCTGGTCCAAGGGCATGTATACACATTTGATGGATGAGTTTACTAATAATACTTGGCTCTTTATATGGGACTGCCATGAAAACAAACCTAATTAGTTACACAACAGAAGCACACCCAACAAGGTGCCAAACAGAATTATCTTAGGAAACCAGTTTTTATTTCTTTCTTTTTTTTTTTTTTTTGGATAGGAAACCAGGTATAACACAAGTCTGGATCTGCTCCCAACAAAAAACTGTTTCAACACATTCCAACATGATTTGTGTTGGGTAGGGATCTGCTACCAACAAAGCGCTCCTAAAACTGTCCCAACAGGTCACTGCAACTGTACATTGGGAACATTTCCTTTCTCATTCATGGGGAGATGTTCCTAATGTACGGCTGCAATGGCTGGTTGGGGCATTGTTAGAACCGTGTGTTGGTAGCTGATCTGAACTCATCTGTGTCTGCACATATCAGAAGTCTTATGGTGAGATGTGTGGACACAGATCATGTTGGAAGGAGGTCCCAACTCTTGAAACACAACCATAATTAATAATTTTGCCTATTAGCTCATTTTACATAAGGTAACATTTTCTGCTCAAATGGCATGGTTCTAAGATCTTTGTTCTCACCCTGTTCCAATACCTAAAGCACTTGCCAAATAATAAATAAGATTTTAATTATGTAAGTGTTTGATAAAATAATTTTTGTCAGTACTCGATAACAAGATCAAAAGAGCCATTAATAGTGAAAAAGATGTAATGGCAAGGTGAATTGTCTATCTGGTGATTATTGACATAAGGACCAAAACAGCCACCTAGGAAGCTTGAAGTGTAGAAATAATACAAGTATCATTCCGGCATAACCATCCTTTAAATGTCTATTATCTGGTAGGGTTCGACCACCAGCTCTCCATCATCAGTGAATTGTGGTAAGATTGGGCTGTTGGTAATTGTTCCTACTCGACAAGGCATCAGAAGGGAAACATGAAAAACAAGATGAAGCTCTGTATTCTGGCAATTCAAGTTTATAAGCAATAAGTCCCACCCTTCCTAGTTGTAAGCCAACAGAAATAAGGATGGACTTAGAGTCTTGGAAGCAAGAAGGAAGATGTCACTAGGGAGAATAGGGAACATGACTTAGCWCCAAGTGGAATGAAAACTAGATCCCCTTCATAGAGGGTGGTTTCCCTATTTATAGAAGGGAGCAAGGTTACATGCATGAAGCAAGAATTCCAAAGTATTCCATAATTCAAATAGTGCCTGGAGGTGGATCCTGTTCTCAGGACCACAAGGTTGTTAGAGCATGATCTCAAGCCTTCTTAAGAGGTGATGCATGTTGGCACAATACACAGGTACAACCAGTCATGATTTCCCTGAGGTATCACACACCCGACACCGTCAGCATGACCCTCAATGCACTCAGGCATTGACTCATTAGTATTATCTTTGCCTCACAAGTCGCAAGACATACACACATATTTGATTTTAAACGCCTTGCAAGACTGACAGGGAAAACACGGCCTCGCGAGGCAAGATAGTTAATCTTGTGAGGTGGGAGGGACTGTTATGACCTCAGGAGGTGACTCATAAGGTTGGAGCATTGTGATGTCGCTAGGCAACTCATGAAGCAAGACATATTGATGATCCAGCGAGGCGACTCGCAAAGTTAAACTGACATGACCTTGTGAAGCGACTCGCGAAGTTCAACTACTGCGGCTTCATGAGGCAATTTGCAACGTTATGAACTTACTTGTGACTTTACAAGGTTAAGTCGACTCTATTTCCCTTTACGTTGTTATGCCATAAGGCCTTCATTTCGTTATTTACACCAAGTCTCGTCATGCATATTGGTGAGGTTTTACTTCTTTACTCTTAAATATATTCATGAACATTAGCCCCCCTACTTGATAATAGAAGAATCTGTTTGTTAAACAGAAAATGGATCAAGCAATTTGACCCTTGTTACCTATCATTAGCCCCCATTTTGGGAGTGAAATTCAGAGGATTGAAGCTTCCAAAATTAATATGCTTGTCAAAGAATTTTCCGAAAGATTAGGCCCCAAAATTCTGAAACAACTTGATTTTGGGTGATAATTTGTTTGAAAGATATATCTAAAGAATTTTTAGAAAGATCAGCCCCCAAAATTCTTATTTGAAAGATTAGCCCCAAAATAAGAAGATTAGCCCCCATAAATCTGGAGAATTTTTAGAAAGTCGGTCCCTAGAATTCTTATTTGAAAAACTAGCCTAGTCCCCAAATATCTGAAGAATTTTTAGAAACATCAACCCCCAAAATTCTAAAGAGATTTATTTGAAACATTAGCCCCCAAATATCTGGAGAATTTTTAGAAAGATCAATTCCCCAAAATTCTAAGGAGATTTATTTGAAAGATTAGTCCCCAAATATTTGAAGAATTTTTAGAAAGATCAGCCCCCAAAGTTGTGAGGTTTATTTGAAAGATAGCCCACCCAAATTTGTTTCTACAAGGCTGTTAATGGGAGCATGTATTATTTGTGGAGTGAGGCTATTGTTTGGGACTTTATGGAGTTGGGGCGAAGCTGTTAGGGGCAAGGTTTGTTTTTTCAATGTTAGTATTTGGTGAGGCTATTTAAATTCAAAACTCCTGCTTAAATGGGACGCATAACATTAGTAACTTCCTTGGGAAGTTTCTCTATTTACAAGATGCTTTCAATAAGCACCATGTGCATGGTCAATGCGTGTTTTCTGCAGATTGATGTGTAGTGCAATGATTTTGCCTTTGTAACAGTTATATAAGGTGCAATGTTCATTGAGGAACTTCTTTACCAAATTTCTAAGTCTTGATTGTATACTGCGGCTTTGTTTTCCTTGTGCATTCCTCATTTCTTTTCTTTAGTGGATGGGTGTGAGGGTTGTGGCTGCTCTATTCTCCCATCAGTAGTCAACCTCTTCATGATGAGGGCCACTTTATAGGGGAATGGCAGGGGGGAGGAGGTGATCTTCCTAAGCCCCGTCTGGGGATGAACATCCGCCTTGCCTTATTGCAAGTCTACTATATAGGCCCCGTGCCTCACTAGCAATCTGGTATGTGTGGTCTACTACTTTGCCACCACCCCTGTTGTTGCTCTGCTACCTTCTTCACAGACTTGTCGGTCTTCTTTGCGCACAACTACAACTTCAAGAAATTCACTATGCCAAGGTTTTCTATCCATACATAGTACTTGGGGTTCATGCCCCGTATACATTCATCTACTATGATCTATTCTTCATACTCTCCGAGCACTTTCATTGCTTCTTTCTTGAATCGCATGACATAATCTCCCGATTCCTCTAAATTGTATTGTATTATGTTCCTCAAGTCGGATAGAATCATCCTTCTTCCAATGTAAATCACTTCCTCACAAACCTCTCCACTAGATTTTCCCAAGTGTTGATGGTGTTGGGCGCTAGCTATAAGAATCATCAATACACTTGTCCCATGTCTTTGAAAACTCTCTTAGCTTCAGATCCCCGTCTTTGGTGTAGAGTCCCAGTTATTTGCTAATATGTTCCCTGGCATTCCTTGATTCTCCATCATAAATTTCCTAGGTTGGTGGTGGTATGTAACCGGGTGGGTAGGGTTTCTATGCAAATGGATAGGGTAAGGCCTCTAGTAGGATGAGGGTTTAGGCTAGTTTCCAAAAACCGCTGACAAGCACTCCATGAGATATTCTTTAGTTAGGTGTTGTTGAACCTAGATCTACGGCTGGCTGGGATAATGGACAATGTATTGGTGGTGAAGGTGGTGAAGGTGGTTCAGGGGATTGGAACCTGGATGGGATTCTTACTTTTGGATGAATCTCGGATGTTCTTGGTGTTGGGTGACCTGTTAGTGTGGCTGACTAAAGATCTAGTGAATTTGGTGGTGCCAAGAAATGGCTCTGTAGGAGTTGGAACATGCGGTCTTGTTTCTACTCTATGTGTTGCATCCTCTATTGCTACTCTTCTTCCATCTTTTTGAGCCAATCTTGTAACTCATACATTTTTCCAGCTAAATTG